GGTTTTGCGGGAGTAAGACTTATTTCCGCTTAATTTCAGGTTTCTATATATTTTATATCTCTACGCTAGCTTGGCTGGATGGACAACATATATGCAGCTTCTTCGTTCTGATGTTATACTTGGACCCAATTCTTCTTAATTTAATTTTTATTTAGTTGTTCAATTTTCAATTGCGGTTTGTATTTTATTTCATTGTAATTTCAGTTTTTTTTTGCTTAATATAATTGTTATTTTTTTTCAGGTAATCTTTTTAATTTCATTGATTCTTTTAGGGATTTCAAATCATTTTATATCATATTAGACAAAGGAAGTCCGAACTAATGAAATGTACTTGATGCCCGTTTTGCTAACCAAGATAATTAGTCTTAGTCATCTCTTGGTGATGCTAACTTGGTTAGCAAAACGTATTTTTCTTCTAGCATGGGGAAAGTGTTTTCAGTAGATTCTTTTCACACCCAGAAGCTTCAAATTCTATCTATCAAGTCATTAATTTTAATTCATATTACAAAATCATCCTGGATGTTACTTACATATCAACATACATTGTCAAACTTTGAGAATAGAAAGTAACTCAATTCACTACGATAAATATATTTTTGTAATTTTTTATTGTTTTCCACAGGCCTGATGATTACTTTGCAGAGATGGCGAAGACAGACGAACACATGCAAAAAATTCGGGAACATTTGATGAAGAAGCAGGAACAGCAAAAGAGAAGTGAAAGGGTCAAACAACTTCGGCAACAGAGGAAAGAGGGGAAAATGGTTCAAATTCAAACGAAACTACAAAGACAGGAAGAAAAGAAAGAAATGTTGAATCAGGTTAAGAAAGTTCGAAAGGGGATGTCTAAAGATCTTGATTTTCTTGATGGTAAAAAAAATAAATCTATTGGAAGAAAATCTATGGAAAAGAGGAAAATGAAAGATAAAAAGTTTGGCTTTGGTGGAAAAAAAAGCGGCATGAAAAGTAATACAAAGGATAGTGCTGCTGATATTAGTGAATTCAGAAATCCTGGAAANCATAAGTAACACTAGATAAATGAATAAAAATATTAAGGGAATCTACCAATTGGCAGAGTTAGCTTTTGTCGGTAGAAACTTATAGTGGAGAAAACAAAATACAAAGAAAAAAGGACTGAAATGCAACATTAAAAAATTCTATAATCGAAAAGTTCTTGAAGTATAGATTTTATTCGCTCCTATTGACCAAAAAAAATTCCTGTTGGAAATAACATTTTCCACTTTATTATCCATGGAAATCATAAAAAAACGGAACATCTACATAAATAAACAATAGAACATCTTTTAAATCATTTTTATTATTTTGTTTTATATCTGAAGGCTACTCATTATAAATTTTGGCTTTTATAATCGAATATTCAGCACCCTTTTGTATGACATATTTTCAAATTTTTCAACCATTTTACTAATGGTTGAACCCCTGAGCGACCTCAGGGGTTTATTCAGATTATTTCAATAATTGATAAGTCAGCATCTGAGTATTTCATTAATCAGATGATAACCTATTGCCATGAAGAATCTGTTTAAAAAAAATCTGTTTTTCTGTTAACAAGCTGTTGCACCCTTACGAACGACAACCCTCAGAAGTCGAAACTTGTTGCGAGCTAAGGATTAACGAGATCTTACCTTTTAACGTGTGATTCCTAACACGGGTTGGACGATAGTGAAGATCGATCGTTCAGTCTAGGGCTTGAACCACCGACCAACACAGCAATCAATTTGAGTGAGTGAACAAAGCATCCACGCCGAACCGCCTGGATACCGACCGACCAAATGAATAAGAAATATACAACTCTCTTTTTATATTGTCATGACATTTCATAAATGCACCTCCCGTATTTGAAACTGACTGCAAGTATGTCAACAACTAAGGGGTAGAATCATCTGTTAACTGTTCTTTGATTGTTTCCGACGATTTCAATATTAACTATAATGATCTTGGAATCGCCAGCCACCGATTCTCTGAAAAACCTACTTTTGACATTTAACTTAACTATGCATGTTAAATCCAATACCCGTATCTCACAATTTTCGTCTACTCTCATTGACTATATTTGTAGCAACTTTGATGAGCAGAAAGTATTATGTTCAGTCAGCTCTTCAGGTTTATCTGACCATGAGGCAGTTTGCAGCTCAGTGCCGCTCTGGTTGTCAAAGAAGCAAAACAAATGTAAATATGGAAGACTATTTAGCAGGACAAATTATAATAAGTTCTATCAGAATTGTCTTCAGACTAACTGGGAAATTATTCTATCACATAATGATCCTTTCCCTATACAAAAACATTGTTGACAAAAGGTTTTAAAGTTTCTTCTATTAATATGCGGTCAATTATATTCGGAAATTCACAAACAATCTTTATTATTTAAACTACTTTAATAATTACCGTAGAATTTATAGATTGACAACCAAACGAGCAAAAGAAATATTTTACAATAATATACTCACAATAAGATGAATGAGTCCTGGTTAATTATAAATGACTCAAGAAACTCAAAAAAACGAAAATGTAACATTACTTTAAGTCCTGATACTATAAATGACTTTTACTGCTCTATTGCAGAAAATGTGAATAAAAATATTGCTAGCCCTTATGATCCATTAGAACATCTAGAAAATTTGGGCGTGAATGAGAACCTGTCTCTGTATGACACCAACATTAATGAATTAATTGAAATCATGATGGGTATTAAAAACAAAAACATTTCCATCAAAATAATACAAAACCTTCCTCCTAGTGCCCTAAATGTACTGGTTTCACTGATAAAGTTATCCTTTCAAACAGGCATATTCCCCTTTTTTCTAAAAACCTCTGAGGTCATTCCTCTGCATAAGCGCGGAGATTCTGATGATCCCTCTAATCTCCGCCCTATATCTCTCATACCAACCATCGCAAAAATCATTGAAAAACTAGTTAAAAACGACTACTTGGATTCATAAATAAGCATAACATCATCAGTGAAAATCAATTCGGCTACCAGAATAATACAAATACGCACGATGCTATTTTCTCATTTCTGAATAAAGTTTATTCTGAGATAAATGTCGGTGAAAAGACTGCCGCAGTATTTTGTGACCTGTCAAAGGCATTCGACTGCGTTGATCACAAAATACTGCTGAGAAAGCTCCAACTTTATGGATGCAGAGGAGTAACTCACAAATGGTTCAATTCCTACTTAATGGGACAGACGCAAATGGTCAAAACAATTCAACTTTCAAAAAAAAGGGAAATTAATTCTGGAGTTTCACAAGGTTATGTGTTAGGTCCCATTCTTTTCTTATTATATATTAATGACCTCACCAAGCTTAATATTTCTGGTAAGTTCATCTTATTTGCAGATGACACTACCATACTTTGGAATAATAAAAACACTTGTGAGTTGCACAAAATAATCTCTGCCGACTTGAAAAAAGTTAAAGATTGGTGTGATTCAAACATTTTATCTTTTAACTTAACTAAAACAAATTTATTATCATTTAGATGCTCAATCGA